GATCCCGTGGTATTTCGGCCTCGGCTCGTAGAGAACGGGTGCACTATTCTGAGGATGATGAAGATGATGATGGTGATGAGGAGGAGGAGGAGGAGGATGCAGATGAGGATGTGGACGATCAGAGTGGACCATATGATGATTACGGTCCATTCAGTCAGAGGCTTGATGATGTGTATGAGACGCGTAGGGTAGACGTGCGTAAGGGTAGAGATGGTAGATTTGTTAGTAGATCTGGCACATCATCTGCGTCCACTGTGTCTGCGGTTAGCAGAAAACGGTCGAGGGCCGTTAATGATTCTTGGGTGGTGAGGGGCGAGGTGGCTGGGGGACCTATAGACGGGAGTGTGATTCCTAGCTTTCTAGGACACATCGCTACCCGTATTTGGGAGGACCAAGAGCGGGCTTTGGATAGCGGCATTTTGAAATGCCAAACCCGGGAGAGGACTTGTAACTTCTTGTGTAGTTGGGCTGAGGCTTGGCCGGAGGAGAGCGAGATGGTCGGCCGATTGAGGGCCACTAGAGTGAGCCACCTTCCTGCCACCATGCATGAGAGGATTGACTCGACGCTGATCACGGCTTTCGTTGAGCGATGGCAGCCGGACACGAACTCTTTCCACCTTCCGTTCGGTGAGATGACGATCATGTTGCATGACGTCGAGGCCATCCTTGGGATTCCCGTAGAGGGAAACCGAGCATCTGTTGTCACAGATGCGGATCAGGCAGATTTATTGGCGGAGCTGTTGGCGGTGGATAGGGCTGCGCTGTACACAGCGGCACTTGGTGTGTGGGATCACGGCGGTGTTAAGATCGCAGCAGTTTTGCAGCAATGTTTGCACCCCACTTCACGTAGGACGCAGGACACACAGCTGGCTGCATATGTTTTTCTTCTTCTCGGGTGTACCTTGTTTCCGGATAAGAGCGGAAACAAGCTCAGGCCACGCGACATAGTTGACGCGTGTGAGCCCGACAGAGTAGGCCAGTTTTCTTGGGGGTCGGCTACATTAGCGTACATGTATCGCCAGTTAGGATTCTCGAGCCGGGCTGATGCGGCAGGTATCACTGGATGTATGACGTTGTTACAGACGTGGATATACGAGTATTTCCCGGCGTTTCGACCACACCGCGACCCGGTTCCTATTGGGGATGGCCAGCCACGTGCCTGTGCGTGGAGTCCGCGTGTCGAGAAGAAGTCCATTGACCGCCTGCGATCGATACGGTTATTGCTTGACAGGATGTCCCCATTAGAGGTAAAGTGTTTAAATTATTTCTACTTTTATAGTTTGATGTGTTTATTGTATGAATCTTACTAATTTTAAAAAATGTGCAGGTGAACTGGATGCCTTTCGGCCAGAACCCTAGTAATAGGGTACCCAGGACCCTCTACACGGGACTGATTCAGTATCGTGAGATCGTAGAGGCGTACATGCCGCAGCGCTGTCTTCGCCAGCTTGGATATGTCCAAGTTGTTCCTCCTCCACCAGCATGGCCCAGTAAGGCCGTCCGATCTGCGTCGTTGAAGGAGTACGTCGTCCAATGGCCGGCAAGCATGATTGGCACGTGGGAGCAGTTTCCGATGGTTGCCCGCATATGGATTGAGCAGTTGCAGCGGCCGCCAACTGGGGTGGCTGCCATGTGTGACCAGCACTACATGGAGTGGTACAACCGGCACTCGCACCCGAGGTTGATCAGAGACGTCCACCACGGCGACGACGCCGATGATGATGATGTGCCACCGCCCACTGCCGTGGATGCGGTACGTCTCATAAAACATTTGTAGTTGTGTTTTTTTTCATATAATACGTCTCATAATACGTCGTTATTGAATTTTATGTGTTTTGTTATGTGTAGTGGATGGGAAAGATGACGCAGTTGGGACACAGACTTTTTGAGGAGAGGGACAACATGACGACTGCAACAGGCAGAGCTGTTATTGATGAACTGGAACGGGCCCTTGAGCAGTGGCAGTGGGCGTCACAGAGAGATTATTGATATGTCGGCAGTGCATTTATAAAACATTTTCCTAGTTGTTTGTAAAAGTTAACATTATCTGTTCTTATAATTATTATTTTAAGTTCTTAGAATTTGACATTATATTTTTAGTTTTTATAACTTTTATTTTAAGTTGTAATTAGTGGGCATACGAAAACTAAATACAGGTTCACATTTAAATGGGAAAACTAAATACGAAAATTAGAATCCGAAAATTAAATAAATGGGAAAAACATAGCAATAGCAATATTAGGTCACATAGAAAAGGCAACTAGATTGTTCCACTGCTGCACCCGGTCATGATATAACGCATCCCAGCCCTCTACGCTTGCTGTACGAATGGTGTACCACGTTGGTATAATCGGTGGGACCGGAAAATCGGGTGACAGGTCCAGTCGGATGAAATGTCTGTATGACGGCCCCAGAAATCCAATAGCAACCTCTCTTACCGGTCTGGTGACGGTCTCACGCGAACACCAAGGCAGAACCGTGGTACACGGATAGTAAGCTCGACCATGCAAACCAAGGCCGAAATGCATCACTGCACATCATGAAGTACGTGGGTAGCACTACGAATGACTGAAGGGTGGCTGGAGGACACTTGGTCAAACATCGAACGAAACTGCTCCAACTCCTCCTGTTCACGGTTGACTGTCTGTGGAACAGCATGCTCTCCGATAACGAGCGTCCGCCAGAATGGATGAACCTGATCAACATGTAACGACGCCCTATCTTGCGTAATTACGCGGTGAATGGTGCATGCACAAGGTAGTCCATGAGTCACCGATATAGCACATCCGCACCGAATAGCCACTTCATCACCCAACTCCCTCATCCTGGTGTGCTCGCTCAGAATCAACCCCAAGCAGTAGTGTGACACACGACCATGGAGAATCTTAAATATGAAATGGCTATACATCGTGCCATGTCGCCGTCTGGAGTCCTCGAGAGAGTTCTTGATGCCGTTCCTCTGAGTATCAATAGCCTTGTTTATTCTCTCGAACAGTGTATCCAGAGCAGAGGTGGAAGAATCAATCCAGTCCTTCAGAGCTCTATGAGCGCTCTCAACTCTACATGTAGTAGTGTTTCCAAAATGAAGAACTTGGTTTGTCCAATATTTGACAAACTTTTCCCTCTGAGGCACCCACTGCTGCATCACATAGTCTACGATTGCCGGGCACCATTGGTATGCATCCTTGAAGTTATCCAAGGCTCGGTCGTACTCTGCCTCCGTGGTAGCTTGCAGGATCTTCCGCCACTTACCATTTACCAATCTCTCTGCTGAATCTAAGTTCTTGTTGAAAAGGTTGTAGGCTTTGACTATCACGCATTTGTTGATGTGCCATGTGCACAGTAAATGGCTCGACTCCGGAAACAGCTCCGCTATAGGGGCAAAGAGACCTCCCTCACAATCGCTGACGATGGCCGATGGCTGAACACTTGGGCCGATGTAATTTCTCAACTTCTCCAACACCCAACGGTAACTCGCAACCGTCTCATCCTTCATAACTGCATAACCAATCAAAAAGTTCTGGTTCGTTGGAGTCATCCCAACCATCTCAACCAGTGGAAACTTATACTTGTTTGTCTTGTACGTTGAATCGATCAGAATCACAGATGGCCAAGACGAAATCATATCAGCACAATCAGGATGCACAAGGAACAAATGAGTCACCTCCGATGTGTCTTCATCAGATTCAAACCAGTACAGGTAACCACGTGCTTGTGCCTGGTGTAGAAGCTGCTGTATAGGGTTCCTTCCCTCTGACCGTTCAAACCTCAATTTATGTCTGACGTTGTAGATGCGTTGCTACTACTAAACAAAAACCTGATCTAATTGCAACCTGTTTCGCCCAATCAACCGCTTGTTGAGCATCTTCGAACAGACCATCGTGTACAAAAATCCCACTATAATCATTTCCGTCTCCACCATAATCCTGCAACAATAACATATAAATATAAAACAACAAACAACAAACAAAGAAATAAACAAAAAGTATTCAAAAAAAAAAAAAAAAACAAAACACAAAAATAAAAAACATAAACAAAACTTTAGATTAAATAAATAAAAATAAACCAAAAAAATAAAAACAAAAAAAAAACATAAAACGAAAAAAATTGTAAAAAAAATAATAAAAAATAAATAAATTAAAAACAAAAACAAATTAAAACAATTAAAAACAAAACAAAAAAAAAAACCAAAAAAAAAAAAAAAAAAATTGTAACACAAAAAAAAAAAAATAAACAAATTTTAAATTAAATTAAAAAAAAAAAAAAAAAAATAGTGGTGGCGCCTAGCCAGGACGCCGCCACCGTGGCGGTGGCGTCTAGCCAGGACGCCGCCACCGTGGCGGTGGCGCCTGGCCAGGACGCCGCCACCGTGGCGGCGGCGTCTTGGCCAGACGCCACGGCCACGGTGGCGGCGTCCTGGCCAGGCGCCAGAGCCACGGTGGCGGCGTCCTGGCTAGGCGCCACCACTACGGTCACGGCGTCCCGGCAGGACGCCAGCCGCCAATTCGTGGTTTTAGATGGCTTCGTACCTCCTTTTCCGGCGTCAACGGCGTCTCTCCGGTGCATCTACCCGACGTTGAGGGCTCTTCGGTTTCACTCGGCGATCCAGTCCTGCTCCACATTTTTTATGAGTGAAAAATTTTATTTTCGGTAAAAATTAAAACAAGGGCAATAATGTCAACATTTTTAAAAAATGTGGGCTTTATGTAGAAAAACGCGGGCGATGTTTAACAAATCCCTTTTTCTATGCATAAAGCAATATAACCTTTCCTAATTCACTTCCTTCCCAGTAAACTCCACAAAATGAAACTTTTTTTTTAGAAACCCACCAATTGAAACTAACTCCGTAATATAGTAATTCTTCTTATATTTATGACATTTTTGTTTTTGTAAAAGACAATAATTATCATTCACTCAATGTGTTAGCTCATACTTAATTATATACTCCGTTTTTTTTTTTTTTTTTGAATAGTCATACTTTTTTTTTTTTTTTTGAACGGGTTGAATAGTCATACTTAATTACATAAGTACTCCATAAAAGCAAAAAAAAAAAAAAAAAAAAAAAGAAAATAAGCAAGAAAATAGAGAAAAATTAGTTTAATTTTAGAAAAAATTTACAACAAGTGAGAAATTAATTCCACTAAAGACCTTTTTTTTTTTTTTTTTAATATTTAAAAATTAATTTTAATTTTTATTTACAGTTGTAAGAGCATGTGAAGAGTCTACTACATGTTCGTAGGCAATGACCATGGTGTAGTGGTGGCGTTGCGCACAATTTCTGCTGCAACAATCTCTTTTCCTGTCACTTCATCTTCTTCATTCCACCAAATTTCCTCCAACTTCTTTCTTCTTCATTTCACTACAAAATTCAACATTTTTACCATTTTAAGCTCAAAATTCTCCAAAACTCTGTCATCTTCTTTTTGCCATTTTTAGTAATCAAGGTTTAATCACCCCATTTCCAGAATTTTAAACCCCTCTTTTATCTGCTTTCTCTCTCTTCATCTGGGTTCCCACTTTCATTTTTGAGGTAATATTCTACTTTCATTCTTTGTTTATGAACTATTATGCTGGTTTTTTTTTGGTTTTTCGTGTAAATTTCTTAGTTGGGTTTGTTTTAATGCTTCTATTTTTGCTGTTTTTTGGGATATTTTTTATCCTGTTTTTTCTTTGTTTATGTTGGGAATTTCTTACTGGGTGACTTTATTTGCTTTATATTGTTAGAATCAGGGGTTTTCTCTCTGTTTTTTTTGGTGTATGTTCACTGTGTTTGATTTAGATGACAGTTCTGTATAATATGTGAAGAAATTTTGTTGGGATTTTGTGTTTAGAGCTAGAAATTATGGAACTTTGGAAGATTTTTTATTTTATCTGTAAAAATGGCCATTTCTTCAACATTGTTTTCCGTTTTAGTGAGAGAAACTCATCAAATTATAGAGAGAGAAATTGAGTACGTTCATCCACCATTCTATAGCCTAGCTTTACTCTACTCAAGTTTGTTGTCATATGTGCATATCGATGATCTGCAATGTTTGCTCAGGTGGGGATGAGACTATCATCCACTCTTTATTTTACTGCAAGCATGCAGCTAGCATTTGGGGTTGCAGTGAGTTCACTGATCTGTTGAGGGATGCTCCATTTTCTTCTTTTGCCGAATTGTTATGTGGGTGACTGGGAAAGTGAATAAGTGTAAACTCCGTCTGTTTGCTGCTTTGGCGTGGGCTGCGTGGCGCTGTAAAAATAAGGAGATTTTTGACAGTGGGAGTAAGGTGGATGTGGTGGGGGTTGCTATGGGTTTTGTTAAGCTGTGTGTGGATTATGCAAGCTATAATTCGAAGGTTTGTATGCCTCGCCAAAACCCTGCTGTGAGTTCACCTACTAGATGGAAACCACCGGAAGCTAATGCTGTCAAAATTAATGTTGACGCTCATGTGTTAGCAGGGAGTGGGGTGAGCTTTGGGGCTATGATTAGGGATGTCCAGGGATCTTTACTAGGTGCTGTAGTAAAGAAAATTGATGCATGATCTGGCAGAAGCGGGGGCAGCAGTTTTTGGAGTTAGGTTGGCTCTCAGGATGGGGTATGAATGTATGATTGGGTAGAGTTGGAGTGTGATGCAGCTAATGCAGTCAAGGAAATCCAGAACAAGCAAGAAGGGGTGGCTCCAGTTTTCTTATTCTATGATGAAGTGTGTTTTCTAAGCTCAAATTTTACTTCCTTTATGTGTAGGCATGTGAAGCGGGATGGTAATGACGTAATGTAGTTGCTCTTAGTATTGCTAGGTAGAAAACTCCGATTGATACGGAACAAATTTGAATGAATGTTTTTCCCCAAAGTCTCATGACTTTGGCTTTGCTTGATTTGAATTAATAAATGGTTCCCGCTTGTTGCCTTCAAAAAAAAAAAGTTTGTTGTCAAGATGATTTTTTTGTTTTTTATTCCTGATTTAGACATGAATTTTGAATGTTGGAAGAAGCTAGTATTAAACAATGTTGTTGTTTTCCCATAGTTTGTTGGTTCAGATGTTTGCCATTTTTAAAGTTGTGAAAAGCTTAAATTCGTTTAATTTGTTATTTTGTACTAGTATGGAATTGTTGTGTCATACTCAATTACTCATCTAGCGTAATGGCTAAATTTATGAGTTAATAGGTACTACTCATGCTAATTTGAGGTAAAATCACATTTTGATAGTGTAGTGTATCGACAGTATGAATGACTGATAGTATATCTGTCTTATTACTCTTAAATGTATAACACTGATTGAAGCTTATGTATAAATTTGCATGTTGTTCTATTCTTTTTTAAGAATTGTTACTCCTTTCAGCAAGGAGTTGTTGTATTGGTTCCGATACTGTTGTTTGCTCAAATTTTATTTATTCAATTGGGATATTGGTTTCTGTGTTTGGAGGCTGCTGAAATGATTTCTTTATTAGGTAGTGTGTTGATCAGTAGTTTCTGACTTTCTTCTAGGTGACCAAGCTATGTCACAACTGATGGAGGAAAACCTGGAAACTTTCAAATGGGGAATCAAGATGGTAACAGATGATTCAGAAATCAAATCTTACAAGTCGTTTAGATATCAAGGTGTTCAATATTCTCTTCACGACTGTGTTTACCTATATCGGGAAGGTGCAAAAGACACCGATATAGGTAAACTGGTAAAGATGTGGGAGTCAAAAGCAGGAGCTAAGAGAGGGAGAGTTATCTGGTTTTTCCGACCAGCAGACGTGTGCAACTTCATACGAGAGTATGAACCTTCTTGGAATGAGCTGTTTTTGGCTTCTGGTGAGGGCAGAGGAGTTTCAAACATAATCCCTCTGGTAACTTCTCTACCTTCTTGAGCTCTTTTTCACTTTCCTAAGAATAACTTCTCCTTGATAGAACATTATGTGAATATGGATAGAGTTACATGGTTGAAATGTTCAAAAGAAATTATGAATATTATCTTAGTTTTATCTCCTTTATGTTTCAGGAAGCTATTGTTGGGAAATGCAATGTTGTATGTACTGCAAAGGATAGAAGGAACACTCTTCTATCTAAATCAGATTTGGCAAAGGCTAACTACTACGTTTTCCATATTTTTGATGTCGGAGATCTAAGGATATCAGATAAGTTTCCTGATATCATTGACAAGATAAAAGGTAGTGTAAGCTGTATGGTTTTTTTATAACGTCTTAGTTGGATTACATGCTACACAAATCTTGGTAATGCGTGACTATTACTAGAAGAGCGCTTCTTCCTAATTTTTAGTATGGATTTATCTTTCTATGACCATAAGGAGTTTCTTTAACCAGCCATACAAGATATTTTGGTAGAAGATTCGTTCATTCACGTTTAAATAAAAGGTTAAGTAACCTAGTAACTTAATGGTTCGTCAAGCTTAAAGAGGCTAGAAGCACTACAACTAGGAGTTGTAGGACGAGGCTCATTTGCTCATAACTTCTCACAGTTGTATTCCAATTTCCAGCAACAAAGTTTTTCTTTGCACTTCCAAAACTTTTTAATCCAACTCTATTCTTATGCCCTATGATGGCCTAGAAGAAATTTGTAAATTTGACCTACTCTTATTGTGAAATTGAGTGACTCAAGTCTGTAACTATTAACAAAAAAAAAAAGTCTGTGACTGAACCCAATGTAACGAACACAGGATGATGGGCTTAGAATAAATTGACCTTTTTCTAAGTGGAATATTGCAAATTAATTTACAGCATATGCTCCTAGGCACATTGTCACCTTATAATTTGCTTATCATAGAGCTCACTTTTCTGTGATTTGAAATTTGAAATTGTTATTTATTTCTGTTTTTATAGGAGTACTATATAAAATGAAATGTGAATACATTATATTGGAAGTCTGATATAGACCTCTTGCTACTGTTGGGATCTATTGTTGTTGTGAGCAAGAGAAATCTGCTGCATCTGACTTAAGTGACACAGTAAATCGTAAATCATGCTGAAGCAAATCATTGAAACTATATAATCCCCGCTCTCTTAATTATAATTTCTTTTGGCCAAGATGTCATCTTAGTACTCAGAACTTTGAACACAATATTTTGTGATAATGTTTCATGTTAAGTATTCTCTTATTTGTATTTATATCTAAATCAGCAACTATTATCTTTATACGTCTGCAGTGGAACGTTTGTTCAATTGGAGTCAAAATAATCCCAAAGGAAATTTAGAATGCAGGACTGGTCTCTCTGCTGGTTCACAGTTGAAAGGTACTTGTTGAAAAGACATACATTTTCCCCTTTTTATAATTTTGGTAAACAAGTTATTTGTATTAATTTATCTATGCCTCCTATGTTTGCTTGTGTTATGCTTAGTTGCAGAAAATCCTACAAACACTGCTGAAAAGCCTACAAAGATCGAAATTTTGCATGCATCTGAGAATTTTGAGATTCGAGATAAGCCCAAAGCAAATGTAGAATGCAGGAACGATCCTAGTGCTAATGCACTATTGAAAGGTGGTTGAAATGACTAATGTATTTTCTATTTTTTTTTTGTTTATAGAAAATTTGGTATATACTACCTCCATTCCTAAATGATTTTTTACATCTTCCTCATAAGTTCATTTCTTAAAGTACTTTACACTTGTACTTTATTCCATTTATGGCAAGGACACTTAAATTGTTTGCCTTCTTTGGCCCGCCACAATACCCACATACAAAATTTAATATAAGATTTGACCTACTTACATTGTTGAGAAATTATAAAATCACTCCTTTCCCCACCTGTACTCTCTTCCTTATTTCCTTAATTACTGTCAAGTAGTAAGTGCCTAGGACATACGGGAACGGAGGTAGTAGTTGAGTAAGCACCCAAGGGTATTCTTTGCTCATTTAATCATCAAATGAGTAAAACATAACTTTGGGTGCACTTTGCATACGGGTGCATATTCAGTAGTTGTTTGTATTAATTTTTATTTATCCATTTTTTTTTTCTTTTTGCTATGCATTAGTTAAAGAAAAACCTACATACACTGCAGAAAAGCATATAAAGGCAGAAGTTCTGAGTGTACATGCGAATTTGGAGCATCACACTTTAGAAGCCCCACCTTTGAAGAAGAGGAAAATTCTACCAGGTACTACTTGCAGTCTACTCTATTCTCTTCATATATGCTTGGTACTCAACATAACATCTGCATTTACATGTTTGTTTATATTTCAGAGACAGATTTTCCCTCACCATCTCAGGATACCCGAAGATGGTTCTTCGCGTTGGTAAGTTCTGCTACATAACGTTATTGATCATGCTTACTTTCTAAAATCTGAATGCTAAGGGTTCTGTAGAATTATGCGATAATGCAGTAAATCTTATAGATTTGTGAGATTGAGAATAGGCTGTTATGTTCCTTTTATATTTTTTTGTCAATGTCTCTGTTGATGTTGGTTGTGATAATTTTTGTGCCGTTATTGTGTTACCCACTTTCAGTTGTTTCTAATTGAATTGGCCATCATTTTGTAGTAATCCTTTTGCTTTAGTTCTCTTGATAGCTTGTGGGTCTGAGGTCTGGTCAACTATTATAAAACATCTGACTCACAAAAATGATGCATTTATGAGTATTTCTTTTGCTATATGATTCCAGTCGTGGGAAGATAAACTAAAGGAGGCTCATGAGCAAGGAACTGTCATCCACTTGTATAACTTGGATCTGTCTCATACTGCATTAGACGTACAGGTACTGAATACAGTATAATTTAATTATTACCTGTGTTTTTTCCTTGCAATGTTGATTCTTGTTCTTTTCATATGCACGATTGCTTATTATATCTGCTTATTTATTCCACTCAACTACTATTGTAATCAATCAAAAATTTCTCATGCTAGAGCACCTTTTTTCCCCTTGCGTAAAGATAGTAAGTAAAATGGTAGTATGTGACTGCTGTCAGTGTCTCTTCTTTGGTGTTTGGGTTTTTACTACTCATACCATAGGAAGGCTATGTCCTCTATTTGTCTTGTTTTTCCTTTCATACTTCCTTTTGATTCTTAATAATTGGAGCTTAAATTATGATTTTCTGCTCACCAAGTCTAGATTTTTTTTTTTTTTTTTTTTTTTTTTTTTTTTTTTTTTTTTTTTTGGGGGGGGGGGGGGTGGGTGGGTGGGTTGTGTGGATGATTAGATTTTGTCAACCTGTTAGTGTCTATCTCCTAGTCTTCATATTTACTTAATATCAATGTCATAAACTAATAGCTTGAATAATATTCAAATCATCAATAGTCAAAGTGATGGAGTCTTATTTAGTATGCATGTAATTCTATATAGTTGGCTAGAGGTTATGAAACTGTCATTAACAAAGAATGTCAGTAATAATAGAAACTTGTTGAGATTCAAAGGGGTAATGTAGTATCTATGTTCTTGCATCTGTATTGGTATCACTTAAGGCATCCAAATCCCCTCTCTCTCTCCTTCATTGTGTGAGTAGATGCTTTTGAAAAAAGAGAGAAATTGGTAATGGGATTATGTATGTCTCTTTGATATGGTAATCTACATGCCTGTGAGGGCACACAGCACTGGAAAGCCACCTTAACCTCCTCTCCTGAAACCCACAACACCAACCCTGAAACTAGCGCTTACCCAACCTGAAATTAGCTCCACCATTGTGAAAAAATTACTTCATCCACCATGAAACCACCCTATACAATAGGAAAATTACCCAACCATCTGAAAAAATACCACTAAGAAACTAGATCTAGAAGCTTAATTCAAAAGAGAGAGAGAGAGAAAAGTAAGGAGGGGCAGGGCAGTGACTTTGGGGGTAGTGGAGGAAGTAATGGGGCAATGGTGGTTGTTTTCTGATTTAAGGTGGCAGTGGTAGTTTTTGAAAGGAAGGGAAATGGATGTTGGATGATTCCCAATCTTAACTATCTAAATCTAACTTATCTAAGTGTTTTTGTTTCTATTCTCCTCCTTTCCCTTTCTTAAGCTCATTCCCTTTCCCCTTTGTTAAGCCAAACGCCCCTAAAGTTCTTTTGGTCTGTTTAAATTTCTCAAGGCTTTTATCTTTTGTTGAATGGTGGGACTAAGATCTTCATTTTCTCTTGTACTTATGTGGTATGATGGTTCTTTGTCTTTTCAGCTCTCATCCCCTTTCCTTTCAAAGTGTGCCACACATTTTCATACTATTTAAGTAGTAAACCTAATTAGAGAGAACATAGGGTAGTTTGTTGGTCCGTTGTCTGCTTCCTTGTTTCATGATATATAGGTGTATGATTATATCACCTCTAACATTAGGAAAGAGGTTCTTTGGACTAAACCCCACGGGGCCTTACCCCTAGCAAGGAATCAGACGTTAAAAAGGGCACATATTCAGTTAAAATGCTACAAAGAGTGTATATATTAGTTGTTATCCTAATGCTTGTTTAGTAGCCATAGTTGTTGCTCAATAATTATGATCTTGATGTCACTCACTTCTTTGATTGCTTAGGAAATGATTTCAAAGGCTTTTAAGGTTAAGGCTCATGCAAAGATCATGCCACGCAGACATTCTTTCGATATATATGGTACGTTCCTGATTTGAAATCCTTGTTTTTTAGCATGAAATTTGTAAACAATATCTGAAGCTATGGTTTGTACTTGCAGGGCATGCATTGGTTATATTTGAATCGAAGGACGATGCAGATCTCATCATGTGTTTGTTAAAAGATAGGTGTCTTGTAGTTGGGGAAGGAAGGTATCTTTACATGTCCCTCCCCCCCCCCCCCCCCCCCCCCCCCCCCCCCCCCCTCCCTCCTCTCCTTTTTGACAACGGGAAAAAAAAAAGAAAAGAAAAACACACATAAGTCATAATAGTGGGTATAATAATCCCATCCCCGCCTCACCACATGCCAAACCGTGACCCATCCCCGCCCAGGTTGAGGCGGGTCTCCTATTTGACCTGCCCACTGACACCCCTGGCCATTTATAGGTTACACAAACATTTGAATTGACACTTCGATCTGCAGAACAAAAATTTGAGACATGACTAGCAATTGACTTGACACTACTGACTAAAATAGTTATTACTAGAACAAATCCTTTACCTAGGGTATTTGGTGCAATCCAACAACAAAGATGGGGGAGCTAACATTTTCCTCTTCATGCCAGAATAAAACCTACAACCAAAAGCAAAGTTCAAAACGGGTAAAATCTGCATCCTATCTCCATGCAGACCATCTCCTTCTGGGTCTTATAATCTGATTATGAGCAATAGTTCCCACTCTTGCACAGGGAACTACAGGTTGGTCATCTTAGTAGAGGTGGATGAACTTCAAGGTTCAAACTTTGGATTTGAAATGATTGGATGATAACCACTTTTCTCACGGCTGTCCTCGAACCTATCTCCAAGACACTAACTGATTCACACTTGATACAATCCAAACCAGAAGCTGAACCTGCATCTGAGTCCATGCATTTCTCTGAAGAACCCATAGGCAAATGCTCCTCCGTTAGAGTTTGTTCTTCCATGAGCCTGCAACCTTTCAAATGATTCTGACTTCCATGATCCTGATTGCCTAACACGCTGATATTTGAAGTATTTGAATGTGACATACTCTCTTCCCGCCTCATACGATCTTCCTTGGCAACTTCCTTATAGTGTCTACTACTTGAATTATCACAAATGACCCCAGCTTTGAGTGGTGATAGGTAAAATGTTTTCCTTGAGAAACTAGGTAAACTTTCTTTGGAATAATCATAAACGAACCCTGCCTTCTTTGGTTCTGAAACCAACACTTGGGTTCTGCTAGATCAAAATTTTCCTTTAGCACATGAACTCCTAAGATCTCTTCGCAAGAGAGGTTATTCTCAAAGAAATCCCTTGTTCTTGGATAGATGAAAATCTGAGCCCTAACCACACCTTAGATTTTATCAAGGATCGACTTCATTTGAGTTTATGTATTCCTTACAATTTCTTACTCTTCACTAGCTTCATTAGGTGCCCCCTTTTGGATAACCTCTTCAGTAGAGGTAACTCAATGCTGAGGCCAACTGGAATAGGCGTTAAGTAATCTGAATTCGACCTCCCACATGCTGACTGTGAAGTGGTACTCCCATTATGGATATCAAGACAATTCAGACAAACAACTCTGGTCTAGGATTTACCATGCCACATAGCAGATTGGGCCTACTGTATAGGACTCACTTTGTAGTTAACTAGTTATAATGTTATATCTTGCTTCTTTTTATTTATTTATTTATTTTAAATCTCTAACTTTTCTTATTCCAGGCCTCTCGTTGCTTGCAAAGCCACTCTTAATGAACCATATATGACTCGGAATTTTCCTGGCCATCTCATCATGGATAAACTGAAGCACAAATTTAACAATAACAAGGTATTCTTATCTACCATTCTAATTCTACATACATCATACCTTTTATTTGCTCTTAGTATGTGAATGGCTCTTTATATTTTTTTTGGTCCTTGTAGAGAAAGGCCGTGTTTGCTTCCCACTGTGCACAGGCAAATACAATTGAACACGAGATGGCAATGCAATGGCGCATGCTTCAAAAAAGATCAGATCTCTGGTGGGAAGCTTTATTCAAGGTGCCACTTTTTCCACTATCTTTTAAATGTCAGTGTGGTGTAGCTGGTGTGGACGTGTGTTGGAAGGTTTCCGTATACCCATGTTGGCTAATGCATGTTTAAACTGATAGAGTATAAAACATATTCTTGGGCCTCAACCACCGGCTTAAGCTTTTGGTTGAATTGGTCCTTAACATAAACCATACCACTCCCACCATCCATTTGGCCATAGGACAATTATTTAGCTAGCTGTACCCCTTTGCACTATCTGTCACAAATACCTTGTTATTCCAACTCTTCATTTCATTACAAGTCTCAGTAGAGCAGTGTCGGGTACTTGGCACTCAGAAATGGGTGATTTGGTATGGCAGTAAGACTTTCATTTTGGACTGGTTTTGTGCATATTTCTCATATTATTGCTGTTTCTGACAAGTCATGTCCTATACTTGTTGAGTCTGTGTAATATAGTCAGTACCAATCATATCAACTTCAGTCACCTACTTCACACACTCTTAAACATTATTATAGTGTGATTCAAAGTGTGGGGGTGGAGGAGAGAAGGGACTCCCCCAAGAGAGCCCGAGCACAACGTCTTCATGAGTTAAGTGTTCCCACTTGGGAGCTAACAATACCAACGTTAAAAGCAAAATCAGGCTGTAAGATAATTGTGATTATTTAAAAAGAAAAAAAAAGAAAAAAAAAAGAGAGATAGAAAAGAGAATATAAAGTTTGTGCAGTATTTTCTTTTGGGGTAATTGAATATATTGAGTAGTTCCACTGACTACTCACTCTATCCACAAATAAAAGTCTCCTAAGGTTTTTTGACACAAAGATTTAAAATTTAAACATGGAGGGGGTAAGGTTTTATATAGATAGTGTAAAAGAAAATTATTAAATTGATGGTGTGTGTAAAAGAAAGATAAACCTTTTTTTTTTTCTGTTAAGACTCGCATCACTTGATAAAATTGGGGTGAATATGCCATGTATAGTAACTTGACTTATTTGTGGACATTCAAAATACAGTATATATGATTTTGATTTGTAAACAGAAGGATTATAATTTGATTATACTGGGTGGGTGACAGGTTTGAGAAGGTGGGTATATGGGGAAGGGTGGGCGGGTATAGGGTGAATAGCTCTTAATTTATGCCTGGTTCATGGCCAATGGTTGGGTATAAATTTCATCTCCTTTATTTACGTCACTAACCAATAAACTCTTGCCCTTAGTGGTCTGCTGTCTCTCCTGCCGTTTCCCTGGTAATATGTGACATTGCAATCTTGCATGGATGTGTTCTGAAGTGTGATAGGACATAGGAGTGTAGGAGTCCAAAGTTTTCCATTCATTTATTTTCAAAAGGCAAAGTTGTGATTTTTGTCATTGAGACAGGGACAAGCAAAAGAGTTTTCAGACTGTCAGAGCCAGATGATGAAGGATCGAACAGATGAACTTAATAGAACGGCAGTAGAGGTAACTTTTGCACATGAATCGTCTGATGCACCTAATAGAAGAGTAGAGAGACCTCCTGCGATCAAATCAGATGAACCTAACATAACAGCAGTAGAAGTTACATCTGTACCTGAATCTCCTGTTGAGAGGCCTCAAAGTGCATCACATCCGACTTTGTTGTGATATTTATGGTAAGCTTTCCATGAATAAACAATTCTCTCTTGTTAAACATTTACTGTCACATGTACTGAAGTGCTTTGTTCTACCTTTGAATAATTATGTAGGTTTGGCAATTGAAGAGTTTGTGTACAGAAGGATGCTAACTGCAACTGTGTGCTTGATATGTTTTTGGATGTTGAGCGTGATATATTTAAGAAGTCGCCACTTGAAAAATTTGCGGGTTGCCCCCTTAGATCCAAGCATACTTTCTCAAATAGAACATAGAAAGCTGTATAAATCTTTTTTGGCTACAAACTTGAACTATTAGTCTATTACTATTTCTGAGGCAATGTAGATAATTAACTTCCTCCTTGAGTTCACAATTATAAAATTTTCGGTTGACATCGTAATTATAGATCTTCTCCCTTAAAATTTCTGTAATGATCTAAGTGTCATACTTTAATTATTAAATGACCATTTTGCACTTGAATTGTCCAATGAACAACTCTTGATCTTCAAAAGTTTGTATCATTCATTACATCTAAATCTTTGACAAGATTACTGTCATATATACAGAAATATATTTATGAAAATGTAGGGGAATAAAGCCTTTATGGACCTGTTAATCTGTTATAAATTAAGCATGTATGCAGGAATCGGATTATTTTCTTGTTCTGTCACAAACTTGGTTTAACAAAAAAGATCTAAAACTTCCAGCATAAAATAACAGTACTAAAAAATTAAAATCATATACTAATAGGTAAATGAACATTGAAGAATTCATACTTGTATTATATTATCATAATAGCCCTAATCAATATGGGCGCAAATAAATCCGAGTACAATTTTTCTAAGATCAAAAATAAGAAATCCTCATTGATTTAATGAACACGCGAATACAAAAACCCTAGGAATTGGATCATCGAAGGTCTTCCCAATACCTAGGACTTAACACAACAATTAGAACAACCAATTTTAACAATCCACAATACTTAACACACTAACCAACACATTAACCCTTAATCACCCACATTTAATGTACTACACTTGCCAATTGAACAGAATCAACCACAATATCAACTGTCCTGCTTCTTTTCACTTCTGTCTGAACACAAGCCATACTACTATCTCTCGATCTCTTCTTTTCACACACTGCATCACCCCTTTTATCATCTCCACAACCCGAAACCGAGCTAATCAAAACCGCCTCGAGCACGTCCCTTACATCCCTCGAACCATACTCTCGAGACCAACCATTGTTGATCACAAAACTATCATCATAAAACAAAGTATGAACCAACATCAAAACCCGAAAAACCCTCGCAAGTTCCGTGTCCACTACTTCTTGATCATCAAACACTTTCTTAATTGGAAAGTAATCATACCTACCAATTTTCAAAAGATTTCTCTTACAAGATTCCTCCCAAATTTCCTCCGTATCATCCACTATTACAACAACTTGTTCATGTGATAACACAACTTTGTCGAACCCCTTTCGCCTCTCCTTTACACAATCCTCCCTCGCAACAATCGAACAATTACTCGGAAACCCGGCTTTAGACACGAGCAACTCGTGCACTTGTCGTGCGTAATATCGACTTCCCATGGTGTATATCGACAACTCGAACATCGAACTAACCAACTTAATAAATTCACGTACACCCGGCCTTAACTTCACCACACAATTACCATTACAAATCTCATAAACATCCTCAGTCGAGTTCGTGCTCGTGTCAATACATCCCTTCTCCATAGACGTGAGTTTGTTCATCATTCTAGAGTGGATTAGGGTGTGGTCCAAGTCAAGGATTAAATGGAGTTTCTTCGAATTTAACAAGTATTGGAGATTATTGTCTCGAATACTAGTAATCTCACTATTTGTTACTGATGAATTCATTGTAATTTTTTTGGAAAGATGAAATCTTTAGAATTGTTTTAGGGAAGATGAAAGAAAGAAATTTTTAGGTTCTGGGTACTTTTTTTTTTGACGGGAAAGGTTTTGGGTACTTAAAGCTAAAGTCCAATACATATATAGATTATATATGACGTATAATAGGAAATTAAAGCTAATGTTTTGATTAACAAAAATCTATCTATAAAATACTTTCCATATTTTCATCCCTAATCCATCTATGCCGCCTTAAATTTTTTATAATTTTATTAAAACCAATCTGTCCTTAAGCTTGTAATTTAGATCTTACACGGTTTTCCCTTCAAAAAAAGATCTTACACGATTTTGTTGCACCGTGTTTTTACTAGGTATAAATGGATAAATAAATTTATAAATAAATAAACAATTTCTTGATATTCAAATTGTAAAAATGTATATCTAAAATAGAAAGTATATCATTTTGAAAATTAATGTCGAGTAAATTTTATCTTTACAAAGAACTTGATATAATGACAAAGGTAAAAATTTAACATTTTTTTTTTAAAAATAAACTTTTTGTAAGACAAAATTTGTACTTTTTTTTTTTGAACTTGATAATTGATACTCTCTCGATTTCATATTGTTAATCTTATTTGCAATAATCTTTTTGTCAGACAAAATTGATCGAAATAGGAATTGAAGAACAGTATAAAGCGAGGAAGATTTTTAGCAACTATCACCTAAAAATTTGTACTCAAGAAAGGGTTTGAACTAATTTTTGATAGGTTGAATTGGATTGAAAAGATAAATCTAATGGAGTCTTAACATAATTGAAAATTTAAAAAAATAATTAAATTTGATATTAAATCTGATGTGAAGATGGATTAAAATCTTAAGATCATAGGGCTACTCTTGCTGATCATTTTACAATCAAATCGGTTTGTCAAAAAAATAATAATAGTCACAAACAGCTTATAGTCCATCCCTCCATGTAGGGTTTAGTCGGTTCCATCACGATGAGATTTAGATTAGGTGTATTTAATTGAAAATTTAAATCTCTTATAGGATGATTGTAAGTTCTGAATGACTATTATTAGTTATTAAATTAAATGAATACACCTCTTTCTATTTTATATAAACAAAATTTTGAAAAATTAGAAAGGTTAAAATAGATAGAAAAAAAAAGTAACTAAACAGTATAACGATTAACAAAACCTACAAAATTTTTACTTATATAAAATATAGCCCCAAAAGACATAATATTATTTAAATGCAATATATATTTGTATTAAAAAGAATGTGACAAATCTTGAAAAACTCAAAGTTTTTTAAAAAAAGAAATTTTATAATTCCTTATTATTAAGCATTTATTCTTTTGATCTTATCTAGTTTCTTGTAGTTTATACTGTTTTTTTTTTTTTGGAGTAGTTAGGGGCAAATACAAGTTTATCTGCCTGATAAACGAATTTTTGTTAATTTGATGGCATTTTTGTAAATATATTGGAAAAGTGTGGTTATTATTTCAGTACTTTTGGTGAGCTGTCCAATTACCGTTTGCAATTTGCTTTTACTATTTGGTGAGGAAATTACATATGTATCCCTCAACAAGTACATGAAAAGACATATGTACCCCTCAACTGCTACTTTAAAAGACGATTGTACCCCCAAATAAACAAATTTTATTTATCTAGGGAATTAATTGGGTATAGCTCAGTAGTTAGTTAGGGTTTTAGGGCTAGATAATGGATCATATATACTCCTTTTTTTTTTTTTTTTTGAAACAATGTACTCCTTATTTTTTGATGGTAGTAAATTATATTAAAAAATAGAACAAGAAAACAATAGGTTTTGTTTGGTATGGTTGTGGTTTTTTGTATTTTGTATTTTTTTTAAAAAAAAATCATATAATATATGTCATTTAATGATTAAAAATTAGTCAAACTTATAAAAATCATGATAATTATAAAATTGTCAACCAAAAAACTAAAATACCTTTTTCTTGTTTCCTATTTTTTATTTTTTATTTTTAAAAAAACACATAATTGAAAACAATAAAATTAAACAATGTAATACAAGGCCATAGTTATTAGTTAATTTACTTGCATTGCAAGAACTTTTTTGATAATACTATTTAATATCATAAATAAAGTAATATAATTAAATTTTTGGATAAAATATATCAATTATGAGCTATATAATCATTAAAACATTATATTAATTATATTTCAAACATTATGTTACCCTTTCAATACATCCATCCCAACTTATCTCTCAATGTTGATGAAGTTACACATATTCAAATTGATAATACGCACTTGTTAAACCGCAAGAAGCTAGCTTCACTTAGTTCTTGATTTGGACCATACCCTAATTCATGCAAGAAAGATAAAGAAGTTCAAGTCAACTTAAGAGCGAGCCATGATGTGCGATGATATTTCCGAGTTTAAGCTTTCGAGTGGTGAGGAGTTTGTTGTGAAGTTAAGGCCCGGTGTACATGAGTTTCTTAAGCAAGTTAGCACTATGTTCGATTTGTTAATATGCTCCATGGGAATCCGTGAGATGCACCTAATAGAACAGAAGTAGAGAGACCTCCTGCGCTCAAATAACAGTATTAAAAAATTAAAATCATATACTAAATGGTAAATGAAGATTGAGAAGTCATACTTGTATTATATTATCATAATAGCCCTAATCAATATGATGGGCACAAATTAATCCTAGAACAATTTTTCTAAGATACTCATTGAATTAATGAACACGCAAATACAAAAACCCTAGGAATCAGATTAATTAGAACAACCCAATTTAACAATCCACACAACTTAAAAAATTAAACAACACAACAATAAATGATCATCGAAGGGTCTTCCCAATTCCTAGGGCTTTAACACAACAATTAGAACAACCCATTTTAACAATCCACAAAACTTAAAACATTAACGAACACATTAACCCTAAATTACCCCACATTTAATGTACTACACTTGCTAATTGAACAGAATCAACACAAGCCATACTATTATCTCTCGAACTCTTTTTGCCACACACTTGATCACCCCATTTATCCTCGCAACCCGAAACCTGAACGCGATGTAATCAATACCGCCTCGAGCGCGTCCCTCACGTCCCTTGAACCATACTCCCGGGGCCAAGCATTGTTGATCACAAAACTATCATCATAAAACAAAGTATGAACCAACATCAAAACTCGAACAACCCTAACAAGTTCCGTATCCTTTTCTTGATCAATAAACCCTTTCTTAATTGGAAAGTATTTATACCCGCCAATTTGCAAAAGATTTCTCTTACAACATTCCTCCCAAATTGTCACCGTATCATCAACAATTACAACAACTCTTTCATGTGATAACACAACATTATCAACCCCTTTCGCTTCTCCTTTACACAATCCTCCCTCGCAATAATCGAACAATTACTCGGAAACCCGGCCTTAGACACGAGCAACTCGTGCACTTGTCGTGCGTAATACCGACTTCCCATGGTCTATATCGACAACTCGAACATCGAACTAACCAACTTAATAAATTCACGTACACCCGGCCTCAACTTCACCATATAATCACCACCGCAAGTCTTATAAACATTATCCTCAATCGATT